TTCCCTGAATACTGCCCCAGAAGGGATAAAAGTGTTTATAAAATTCAAGCTAAGTGGATAACAATTAGATCTTAAGGAATTGTCTGAAGAGACTTCAGTGGAAGATTCCGTGACCTACAAATAAGAAAACACAACATAGTTATAGGCAGTGGCTAGTTCCAGTATATTGTCTATCAATAATATTTGTCTATCAATAATATTTGTCTACCAATAAACCTATACCTCGTCATATCCGGTGGTGTGGCCTTGGGAACATTTAATAATGTATTCCTGCCCGTCATCCTTGGAATCTTGTTCCTCCACAGACCCCTGCTATATTCTCGGAAAGATTTAATACCTACTAAAAAATGGAACAAGCAGAAAGATAGTGGACAACAAAGTAGGATTAACCTGAACTGGTCCATCACCGACTTGGATTGGTGAGTCAGTATTGTGGACAACATTCTCGTCCTCTAGATCTACATCTGTACGGGGATCGGCAGTACTTTTCTCCTTGTATTGGGCTGCGCTACCCCCCATGTCGGCGTCTCCCATCTCAGCTTCTACATTAATGCCCCGGAGGATGTCTACAATATCAGGGCCGTAGCCAGGCCATGCTGATTTGTTAATCTCATCCAATAAATCTGCATCCCTGCTGGGCGGAGCTGTATTGGCAGGTACTTTATCAGCCAATTTCCCAATAATCTCATCGATTATCTCTTTTTTTAACGACGATCTACCCGCAGCAAATATACGCTCAATTTTTGCAGTGTGCTCATTGTTCCTCCGATCTATTTCATCAAAAAGCTCATGTGCCGTGAGTGTTGGAACGGGTCCATTGAAAGGCGGTTCATCGTCCACAGGTAGAGATGTCTTCCCCCTCTTAGCCTTGCGTTTAGTTGCAGCGGGCTTCTTCTGGTTGGGAATAGTGGCTGCGCCAGGCTCTTTTTTAACGTTGGCAGCCACAGACTTAACAATCGATGGGAGATTACTGAATCCTCCATGCCAAGACTCAGCCTTAAAGATGTGGCCGTCTTTTATAACGTCGCAAAGAAAATCAATTCGTTCATCTTCCACCTCGTCACCCCATGTAATGGTGCCTAACTCAAGTGTGTCTTCCATTTTTAATATAGATTCAACTTGGAGCTGGAAAAAGAAGATAGAGCAATGTCAAACATGGCGAAAACACTTGATATGTTTTCCGCATCTATCTAGTTTAGCCTACTGGCCCATTTCCTACATGTCTATCATCGGTTCACCTTGTCTATCGCCGAGTCTATGTTGGCTATCATGAGCTAAAAATGTCTATCTTATCCTGTCTATCAGTTGCAACATAGAATAAAAGAATTGAAAATTAACCTTTTCGTCCATCTCCGTCTCAAGGATTGTTGAATTGTGGAACCTCTTGCACATTGTGAGTTGGGAAACAGAGCGGAAAGCGAATGTCTGAGAGTCATCGGGCCCTAGAAGATAGTTCTGGAGCAGAGGGACGGCTTGGAGTATGAGCAACTGGATGGCTAGTGTGAAGCCATGGGTAGCACTGTGGGATTGCATAAGTTTTTGCGCAAGTTCATCAGCGGATTTGTTGACTGAACCAAAAGATACAGTAGCATTTTCCGCTCGAATGATAAACGTCCCCAGGGGAAGCTGTCAAAGGAATTGATGTCTGCAAGCATCTGAGCGGCTTTCCTCGTCGCTCTTACATTGGAGGAGTCGCAGACAAGGATACCCTCAACTATGACAAGGAGTGCAAGTCTTAATCTCTTCTGACCATCCATTCTTTTAGATTTAGGCAACCTTTTGTCACGCTTCAACCATTCTACAATGTCCCGAATACTCATAGAGCTATGAGGACCAAACAGTTTTTTCCAATACGTTTCATCCTTGCGCCGTGGCGTTTGCATCTCCTTGATCTCCTCTTCCGGCGGGTATGGGTTGCAGTTAAGCCATGTTAAAATTGCAAACTCTCTCATGGAAAATCGTATGGGCTGTCCTCCATATACAAACCACATCTTGTGACGTTTATCGGTGACCAGCGAACGACAGAGAACTTGGTGTACAAGCTTTCCAGATTGGGAACTTCTCCAAATAGGGAGCTTCAATAGACCCCCGAAAGAGGACTTCTTCAGCCACTAAAACTCCAAAGACCCGTCCAAAACGTCAACAATGTCTAGAAGATATTCAGGCCTGGAATATGAATTGATGCGCCCTCCTGTAGGGTACCGATTGGTAGCAAATAGCCGGAGTGGAAGCATGGACTGCTCAATGGATTCGTTTGTTGGGCTATCGTCGTCTACTACTTCAGTGTTGTCCACCGGCGGGCTGTTATTCACCAAAAGGGATCATGTTAACAACAATAAGCATTCTGGGCACGCAATAACATATAAGATATCTCAAACTACCTTAAAGGTCTGGGGATGTCCACTGGTTGGGCCGCCGCTTTAAGTCCAAGGACAATTTCTCTTGCGCTTGGTCTACCATTGGATTAAAAATGATGGCCAGTTAGTACAAATAGACAAAACCAGGAAGCAAAACTTCGGGGGTAGTGGACAAAAATTGGTCTATCCAGGAATAACTTACCCTTTAGTCTGAAGATGGACAACCAGCGGATGTTTATTTGGTGATGCGGACCGAAGAGAAGATATATTCATGAGCAAAATTACCAGTGTTAATAGACAGAAACTTCAGTACCCAAATAAGGTTGGTTAGTCTTGCTAGACCAAAAAAAAATTGTCCTCCATGTAAACCATACCTTCTTCGGGCAGAATTGGAAACGTCTACGCCGGCAATCGCTTTAGGAGTTCTCTCTTTTCGACCGGCGTCTTTGACGGGGGTTTCTAGGGTTTCAGTGGGTTCGCGAGAGCTCTGATGTACCGCCTCACCAGTCGCGCCGGGTGGTCCAAAATCTTGGAAGGCTTTGGGGCTGCCAACTTTGAGAGGGCCGACCAGGACACTAGGGTTCTTCACCCCAGCATCCTTGTGCGCGATGGCATCTTCACTGTCGACATCGCCTATGCCGTCGACGGGGGTTCTGTCTTCGGCGGGGGTCTGTCTACGGTGGGGGTTCTGTCTTTGCCAGGGTTGACAGATGTTGGGATCTCGTGATGCTGGGCCGGGGGGGATGTAATCGGAGAGTCTTCATTTTCCATCGGGACGGCGGTTTGAGTCGGTTCCAAACGAGAAGCGACTTTTCTGGGGAAGAATTTGGATAAACTTAGTTGTTTGTCCATCAGTTAATGATGTGTTCTAAAAAATGAAAATTCAATTTCGGGGGTGTAGCAAGTGAACGGTCGCCTGGGGAGCGCACCTTTCTGTCTTGTCGTTGAAGAGAAGCGATGCAGAGCAGAGAGTTAAGACGAGGGTTAGATTGGTCTTTTTACCAACCCTTTGTGGCAGGCGGAAGAAGACACTTCTCGAAATGGCAGTCTGTAGAAGATTAGTTACTGTGTAGGGCATATAATGCAATTTTCTCATCTCTAATTCTCCATTAGAGCAACTTTAACGCAATATGTTTTCGGGGCTTAGAGCAATTGTTTAAGGCTTTATATTCAGAATAGTTGGATTCTAAGAGTCATTCGGATGCTAAGGAAGACTTTTTTTGGGCAGAGTCTTATGCCACGTGGCAATCCCTAATAGGCTGATTTTCTGGGTGAAGAAAATGTTTTGTGTTTTGTGTTTTTTTCTTTTTTTTTTTTGACAGCCAAAAATGTTTTATGTTTTAATTATTATGTTTCTTCTTTTTAAGTTTATGTTTTAATTATTATGTTTCTTCTTATTAAGTTTATGTTTTTATTTTTTATGTTTCTATCTTTTATGTTTCTAATTTTTTTCTTTAATTATTTTTTATGTTTCTATCGTTTATGTTTATATTTTGTTTTATAAAGTTTGTTTGTGTTTTGTTTCAAAAGGTTTATAAACTTTGTTTATGTTTTGTTTATAATTATATGTTTCTATCTTTATTGTTGTTCAAATTTATATGTTTATATAATATTTCATTTTAAAAATTTTAAAATTAATTAATCAAATTAATTATTATATTATTATAAATGTAAGAACCTAAGGGTTCAACCAATACCTACCTAATTTTGTTTGGTTTTTAAAATTCACTATTACATTATTAATATATTATAATTACACTAAGATGCATTTTCTTGGTTATGCCCTTGTGGATGCTCTTATACACTTCGTTCTTGAGATCTCTATTAATGCAAAGCATCAAAATTAATTACATAAACCCCGCCGAATATTCTGCCCAATATTCTGTATTTATAACAAAAATTTGAATGCGTTGGTTTTTTAAGATATACTAAGAGATGTCAGTTAAGGAAGTTTGTATTTACTTACTTATATTAATCATGAAAATTTAATATCTATATATTGATTTCTATTAACGTGGATAACAAATCATTTTATATTTTTAGTTGGGTTTATCAAAACAAAAGCCTTAGGCCCAACAAAATCAAAAATACAAATATCACTTTAGAAGGATAGTAGCCTTATTTTAGAAATACTAATACTCATGTTGGTGGAAGAACTAATATTAAAATCAATTTAGTATAATCATTTTACTTTTCAGTTTAAATACCTTTTAATGTCAATGAGCTAAACTGAGAAATATAATCATTTTACTTTTCAGTTTAAATACCTTTGAAAAAAAAATATTATAAGTTCAATAAAAAAGTAACAACCAAAATTAAATAAGATTTAAATAGTAATATAGAAAGACCTTCAACCGTCTACAAATACAAACTCATTTAATTATTAAAGTTATAAGTAAAACAACAAAAACAAAAAATAAGCTATAAAATCCAAATAAACAACTTCACAACGTAACAAATAAATTAAACAATAGACCTGTGGTTTACCACAGGGTAAAACCTAGTAAATAACTAAGAAATTACATGATTTTTAGGAAAACGAAACTTTTGTTTTCAGCCAGTATTAGTATATGTATGATTGAATGTAGATCGTATAACAAGAAAAATATATATTTGAATATATTTGTTTGTTTATATATAATTGTGAGTACATATATAATGAAAGAAATGAATTAGTAAGGAGGTTTAGAACTGAGTTCACAACAACAATCACCACCATAACTATATATGCGACACACTCCTCCTAACGGGTATCCCATAGCCAAGCATTTTCTATCACATATCGGTGTGCTTTTACATCCATCATGCTTGCATTTGTAATATTGCCCTATTTGGTTCATCATAAACACATTTATAATAGTTAGAGTACAATATAATCAATTTAATATTTCAACAAGTTTTTATAATAGTTAGAGTACAATATAATCAATTTGACCAATGTTTTCAAAAAAAAAATATTTCATAAAATTTTAGTTATATTTATTTATTTAAATAATCTTCATTTAACAAATATATGTGTTACCTGAAATCATGGGCAAAATGATGAAAGCAAACATCAACAACGAAAGTATTAAAACATATGAAATTTTTTTTGTCGCCATTAGTTATCTTTCTAGAGGATGACACAACTCTGTTTAATTATCTTGCAAAAAAGTTACATATTATAAAATAATGTTTAGAAAATAAATAAATTAATATATATATATATATATATATATATACTATTTGATAGTAAATTGCTGTATCTTTGAGTAAACAATTCCTCTCAATTTTGGGAAAAGAATGCATGACATTTTATATACAAGTAAACTTGTAAATGTATAACCCAGTTTACCTTCTTTTTATTTTATTTTATAATATGTTATTTACTGAGAACTGATTGTGTTGGTCTTGTGTGTGTGGTTTATATATATATAGCCACACACATAATAAACTTTCCATACTATATTAATTAACATGTAATTATGTTCAACAATTTTGGTCAATGAATCAACAAGTAATATATATTTTTGGTCAAAACTAATATATATTTTTGGTCAAAACTAATATATACTTTTGGTCAAAAGTAATATATTCCTATTTAAGGTAAACAATTTGATTCTATTTTTCTGTGTATGTATAATAAATAAATAAATCGATAGAAACATTACACTTAGATTATAATTGTATTGGTATATTTGTATCGAATGGTATGAGTCTAGCTGCTGTGGAAACATTTTTACTTTTATAAACCAAGATAAAATAAGTATCATTGGAGAAATAAAATGTTATTGTGAAATTGATATAATTAAGCTTGAAACGAACCTTAGATAGAAAGGGTGGTAAAACAAGAAATTGGCGGTTGGCGCAATACAAGATAATAGGGTCTTAGCGATAGCACTTGGAGTCATAGAATAGTTGTTATATGGTTGTTTACGACTAAATAGCGACTAAGTCATGTATTTGTAAAACATTTAGTCGTTTCAGTACATAGTAAAAAAAAACAATTGCCAATTGACGACTAATTTACAACTAAACGGCATGAACTGAATGGACTCTGTGGGAGCTTGAAATCCACGAACTGAAAACGGAGTGAATTTGAGTGGGTTCCTGATTCCCTGTCCGAACTCGTGAGTAAGATTGCGAAATGAGTAGAAATTGCTTAGTATTATTTAGTATATTATGCCAAAAAAGAATCCCCTATACACTTAGTCCTATCTCTCTATTTATACAACTTAGGTGAGCAATTAAAGATTCTGCGGACTCTGCTCCACAAATCACGTCCTCATTAAGACGCCGTTTGACCCGTCGATAGCCCGTTTCGATTCCCTCTTTAAACATTCGAACTCCTACTGGACTTCTCCCAGCGGGCTAGGCAGTTCCGGGAGTGGGCCTTTGCTGACGGGCCTTTCCTCGAAGTGGGCTGCCAATCCGGGGTACTAATTCAGGTACCCACAGTAAGCCCCCCAAGTCTTCCGAAGTGGTTCAGTTCGGGAGACTTAAATGCGGAACAATTAAAGAAACTGCGATTTCCGAATCTGATATGATTGATTTGTTTTCACCCGAGGTTGCCTTTTCGGATTCCCGCGCCCCGGTTTTGCCGCTTCGAAATCCCTAGGTTGTCGGCTATAAAAGCTTCCCTAGGCAATCATAACCCCACGGCCGCCGAGATAATATAAAGGTAACATCCTCCTCCCTTCGTTTTTTCTTTTAGTTTTCTCTCTCGTCTCTTCTGTTTTTCTTCTGCTTTCTCCGGCGACTTGAAACCGACTCGCTTTCGAATCCTCCTATTCCATCCCTCACTTGAGACTCCTACCTTTGCCATGTCTCCGCCGAAGCAGACTCCGCAAGCCGGAGACACTTTCCTCTCTCAGCAATTCGGCCCGCACCCCCGGTCAACTATCGCCGAGGAGGACCTTGTACACGTGAAGTTCCTCTGTGGCCTCACGTCGGAGACGGAGCTTATTGCTCCGGGGGACGACCTCTCATCGGAGGATCCTCCGCCCGGTTATTGCTGCGCCTACGAGATCTTCTTCTCGAAGTGCGGCCTCTACTTCCCTCTGCCGGAGCTTCTGGTGAAGGCGATGTTTGCCCTGGGCGTTGCCCTTCCCCAGCTATGTCCGAACTTTGTTCGGACCCTTCTCTGCCTACAGACCCTGGCGGAGGAACACGGCTACCTTATCACCTTCCAAGACATCCTCCACCTTTATACGATAAAGAGTGGCCGGACTAGGGGAACTTTCTACCTCAGCCCGTTAGCCGGACTCCGGGTCTTTGACGACTTTCCCGGGAAGGACGAACAGTACCGGAGTGGCTACTTCTTCTTCCCGATAAACCGGGATACCTTCGGTGACCTGCAGGAGTTATTCGTCCCGCACTGGTCCTAAAAACCGGGTAGAAACTGCGAGGAGATTCGAGAGCTTTCTGCATCCAAGAATTTCCTGTTTCTATTCCTCAGTTCGGAGTACTAACTCTCTCCTTTGTTTATATGTGTTGTAGCCTCCCTTGACCGCGGGTTTTTGTCCGAAACCTTCGCGGATTACTTCGTCACGTTCTGCGGCGGCCAAACCGCATGGGATTCTTTCACTTGCCCTAGGATTCGCGAGGCCAGAGCCCGCATTTGTACTAGGTTTCTCACCATCTCCTCCCCCTAAGCCGCTCCTCCGAAGATGAACTACCGAGAAGAGCGGGCTTACAAAAAAAAGATGGAGCTGAAGGAGAAAGAATTAAAGAAGAAAATGGTTGCTGCGCTGTCGGGCACCAAAGCCCAGGTTTCCTCGAAAGAGAAGTCCTCCAGTTCAACCGCTCCTCCGGAGGGCTCAGGTCGCGAGGTTATAACTCTGCCCGACAGCGACCTTAGTGCCAACTCCCCCGCCTCTCGCCCAGCTCGTGAGGAGGGTCAGTCCAGCGGTCCTAAGAAGCGGAAGGCGGCAGATCCCGTGCTCCCTACACGTGCGAGCTCCCGGCTCCGATCTGAGGAGAAGGTTGCTGAGACTCCTGCTCCGAAGGGCCCTTTACCTGCGGGCCCGAGTTCCGCTGACCCGAAAGCGACCCCGAGGCGCGAACTTTCAGGTAAACTACTTACTAACAGCTTGCTCTTTCTATACGTGTGTATCTTTGGACTTGCGTAAACACTTCATCTTTCAGCTCCGCCGAAATCCTTGGCGGATATGATGAGGAACTTCAGCCGTCCCGGAGCTCGGGTTCCTGCCTTTAAAGACATGTCCGTGAACAACCGGGAGGACTACTTCCGCTTCGCTAAGAAGGTTGGCAAGGTAAGATTACTCTCCCTTGCTTCGCAAGTGATCACCCCCTGCTTTTATAAATACCTTCGTCCTTTCGGCAGATGCTCTTTGAATTCAACAGCTCGGTAGCCCACTACGAAGAGCAGCTCTTCGCCAGTCCCTCCGCCACAGAAATTGGGGCCTTACAATCTCGTGTTGCGGATTTAGAGAAGGAGGTGAAGAAGTACAAGTCCTTGGACGCTGCTAATCGAGCCGAGGTGTAGAGGGCGGCTGATACTAGGATTTTTCTATCAATTACCCTAGAGTACTATCATGTCATTGCAGTACAATAGGTATCAATCCAATCAGGTGTGATGCTAGCAATCAAGATATATCAGAGATGATTAAGTCAAGCAAGCATAAATGATTTTTGGTTTTCAGCGATCCTAAGCGAACATGTTAAACATGCAATAAATGTAAAGCTGTAAAACATAGACTACCATGCATAAACTAAAACGTAACGATTATTGATACTGGCAAGAAAACAAAGCAGACCAAGTAAATAACAAGAGAATTAAACAGAAAGCACAAATGGATAGAAGATCCCGAGGATGAGGTTATTGATGTAGGTGGAGTATGCTAATCTACTTCGAGTGTTTATCAAACTGCAAACATTCTAATCCCTAGACAATGAACTTCTAATACTAGTCAATCCAATCTCTTGGCAGAAACTATCAAGTTTACAACACTTCCTAATCTCAATTCTCATTGATGAAACATGCAGTAAACAGGCATAAAGAAACAGCTCATTAATGTCAATAAACATCTTAGACAACCAATCTCTTGGGCTAAGCATGCAAATCTCTGGCACTAGTTGGTTCAGACATTTCATCATATACCTTTCGGGTATGAAATGTCTATGACCTAGTTCCAATTGATCAGAGAAAAACTAGCTAATAAAACTCTAGTCCAGAAGGGAAACAAAACGAATCTAACATAAACACTCTAGCAAACTAACATCCTCCACCTAATCTATCCCATCCTCAAGAACCCCAACACTACTCAGACGCAGAAATCATGTTAAACATCATGAAACAAGAGTTGTTCAAAACATGCATAATAATAAAGATGACAGGAAGAGTAACAACAATGATTCAAGAACTAACTGCAAAGTATCAATAACTTAAAAGAAATCTCGATTACAATTCTCAGGATCGTTTGGTGGCTAACAACAAAAACCTAATAAAAAACTCGATCCCCTGGGCAATCCAAATGAGACCTATTTATAACAATGTTTGGGAAGACCTTAAAACATAAAACGACAACGTAAAAGCGGTTTAAAAATTGTAATGGTCATGTCGGTCGAGTGAGCGTGTCGAGTAACACTTAATTTCTCCTCTGCATCATTTCATACTCGACCGTGGTCCTCGAGTGAACGTGTCGAGTGACCTGTGAAACCATCAGCTACTTCTTTGCTTTGCTCGATCATGTCACTCGAGTGAGTGCCTCAAGTGACAGGTGGTTCTGCTTCGCTTCCCTTCTGCTCGATCAGCTACTCGATCGTATACGTCCGCTGCTCACTCGATCGTCTATGTAACTGCAACGCATCCTTGCTTCTCACTCGATCGTCCCACTCGATCGTGTGCATGTCGAGTAACGTTTGTTCCTCTGCTTCGCTCTGCATGTCTCCTAAGTACCTGAAAAACTCCAAATATGCACAATGTATGCAAGACATGCATGATATGCATAAAATCTACCTAAGTATGTAAAACATGCAGAAAAGGGATCAATATGATGCGAATCAACAAGTGAATGATGCTGAAAAGATGATGAATGCATGCTCAAAAAACGATGAAATACAGACTTATCAACTCCCCCAAACTTAGTCTTTGCTTGCCCTCAAGCAAAGCAAAAAGAAACAAAGTGGAAGAGAGGTTTGAAAATGGGGTCTCAGAACCTTTAATTTGCAAGATAGAGCAGTTAAAATCAATGTCCTGGTTGCTAAGTCTTTGATGCATGCTGAGAGAACTTTACTTAACGACTTTAGACAAACTCATCAAATCCGAAACTGATTCTATCCCTTGATCTACACATGCATTCAAATCATTCATTCCTTTCAACATTCATTATTCAAGTATATGAATCTGGTTGTGCAAGGCTTAACAAACTCACTTGGCTAGGCAGAAAAAGGTTTTGAGAATCATGAGGGTTTAAACAATTTCAGGACAAGGATCTCTCAATGAATGGATTGAGCTTTAGGGAGAATGCTAAAGGTAAGGACCAACAAATGCATACAGGAATAAAACCTTGACTACCCAATGGTTCCCTATGTCTACCCTTCAACATCAATCCCATTTTTTTCTTTTTGCCTTAGGAGAAGTTTCTTATCAATACTAGTGGATAGGGGATTTCTTCTTAACTATGGTTCTGTTTTCTTCTTATGTTATAAGACATCAAAACTTTTTCTCTTTCTTAACATCCCAGAACCATTCTCTGTATATCATGCTAACCCCACAAAAATCAATCACGAAAGTATAAACTTCTAGAAAACATTCTCCTCCTAAGGACACAACTTTTTTTTTTCTGTTTCTCTTCTTTCTTTCCACAATCATTCCAATCCCAAACCCAAGTAAGAATCCCGACCTAGTCCTATCTGATTTGAAAGTGAAAATCAGAACTACTCAAGATTTTAATCCTGTCGGCTCATACCTAACACGTTCTCCCCAAGCATGATCCGGTAAAAGACCTACCACTCAAAAATTATCAATTGGCTTGAAAGAAAAGGATAGGCTGTGGGTGCGGCAAACTGATCAAAAGAAAGATCAGCTACTTGGATCAACAAGAGTGGTGAAAGGAGGAAGATGATCCAAATATGTATATGGTGACCATGAGCATGCAAGCAAAACACAACCAGATATTTGCAAGTCAAGATTAAGTTCTTATAAGGTAAGGAATGAGATCATATCACAACATGTTTCAACCGAGTTCAAGAATGCTCTTCATGAATTCCAAGTTTGTTTCAGACTTACTTCAAGTTCAATCATCATGCATCAAAAAGCTAACAACCAGGGCATTGATCTCAACTAGTGAATCATAGCAAATCAACCAGGTGTAAATCATCATCGCCCCCTATGCTAATGCAACAGTCCTACATGAAACAGTCTAGACTCAATCCTAGTATGCAAATGCAAGCTACATGATCACTCTGTTTTTAAAGATTTTTTTTCTGAAAATTTTTCAAATTTTTAGGGGTTTTCAATGCACATGTATGAATGCAAATTATATGCTAAAAATTCAAAATAAGAAAAGAGAACACAACATCAAATGTTATCCCAAACCCTCCCCCAAACTTAAATTACACAGTCCCTTGTGTAATAAAAATTTGAGAGTTGGTTTGAGAATCAAACAAAAAAAAGTGTGAAAATGCAATGGTATATACAAATGAAGTTTTGGAGTGGTACCTTACTGAAAATAGCAATCCAGGTATTGAGTCATGGACTCGCTTGTATAAGCACCTGGTGCAGGCGGGACAGGCGGGATCTGCAGTGAGGTCTTGGAAATGATACGCACCTGGATCAACAGTCAGGTCATGATACGCACCTGGATCAACAGTCAGGTCCTCAACATGATCCTCAGCTTGATCCATGGTCAGATCGTCAACATGATGCTCCTCTGACAAGTGTGATGAACTGGCTTTTGCCTTCCGTCTCGCTGCCTTCTTCTTTTTCCGTTTCTCCTTCTTTTTGCTAGCCCTAAGCTCAGGGGAGGACTGTCTCAGAGGAGAAGAAGAAACATTATGCTCTCTATACTCATAGGTGGAATGACGTGATGGAGAAGGAGTTCTGTAGCGTGCTGGGACATCACTCGTGGACAAACGGCGCTGAACTGGTCTAGCATCCTGCGGAGTAGCGTCTGCAAATGCTGTGGTGGTGGAGGCGCAGCTAAACTTACTCATGAAGCTCTTCATCTTCGACTTCATAGACCTTATGGCCTTGTCCTGCAGCATGTTCCACTTCTGTAGGGTACTGATACGCTTGTGAGCCTCTACCAAACTCTTGCCTTGTCTGGGCGCTGTGTAGTCTTTGAAATGGTACTTCTCTGGTCTATACTCATCTGAATCCTCTTCCATCTGATCATCCTCTCTCTCAGATACGTCCATCGCTTCCTCACCATCTGTCGTGTAGAGAGCCTCTACAGGGGGAGTAAACTCAATGTTGCTTCCTTCGAGTATCCTAGTGAAAGCAATACAAGGAAGCAACAATCGCACGTCACCATGTACAGGGTGAGTGAAGTAGTACATATATAACCCGTTGCGTTTCTCCCAATGCAACCATTGAGCTTACCTCAAATTCTGAATGTCGATGAATCTCGGTGCAATAGGCTCTGAACTCAGCGGGACGCTACAAGCTTCCAAGATGACTGTCACCAACCCTCCCATACACATAACTCCTTGAGTTCTGCAGCTGCTCAGCTTCACTACCCAAGTTCTGTAACTGAGTAGCTGGTGCAACAAAGTGAACGAGGGGGATGTATCAGTCGTATCACCTCGCAGTAGTGACCCATCTGCTGCTGTTAACAAGAGATCTTTGAGTGCAAGATCAATCATCTCCAGCTCCCCGTTGATCAGTGTCCCTGTTGTCTCTCTCGCGAAGAAAACATTTGCAATTGATCGATGGAAGTATCGGATAACTGGACTTCTGATGTGGTTGCTCTTGGTCCTAGATGAAGCAAACTTCTTATCATTCCCAATCGTTTCCCAAAGAGCCAACAATTCATCCCTATCAATCCTTTGCCCAGTCCCTGTTCCATTAGGGAATCCAAACAAACCCTCCATCTCTCTGATGGTCAGGACATACTCTTGATCATGGATAGTGAAGGTGATGTATCCCAATCCTCCATCTGACTCTATGTCCAGATCATCCTCATAAAGATGTATGGCAAGCGTACAGAGGAACTGAATTGTCTCCTCTCGGTATGCGTTTCGAGGACTAGTCATGAGGGTGCTGAGATGACAATGCTCAAACATATACTCGACATCACTCGAGATAGCCAGCTCATCCATCGTCTGCTGGCAAGGATACCTCGTGCCCTGAAACTCATGCTGCTGAAACAGCTTGTAATACTCTCCTGGGGCTAACCACTTCTCTGTCTTCTTCTTTTGCACTGACTTGCGAGCTGGGACAGGTGGATGCTCTTCAAGCTCATAATCACTATCATCATCCCGCAGCTCCATTGGTTTCTTACCCGAAGACTTAGCTCTGCTTCTTGCCTGAGAAGGACCAAC